GTTGCACATGTTTCCTTTAGATTTCGAAATTTTCTCCAAACGCATATTGTCAAGGTGGGGAAGCAAGCTTTAGCATATGCGTTTTAGAAACTCAAAAGAAATTAGGCACAGAAAGCGAACAAGATCTAGGGCTGATAGCGGTGCGGTGGAAACATTCTCAAGCAGCTGTTGCGTATTATCCATGCCATATCGAACTTCTCTTCCATTCGAACTCATTCATAGGGCTAGCCTTTCGTTGCAGATGATCATACAGACTTCTGCGTGTCTACGCCCTGTGTAAAATTGGTTGAACGAAGGTTTAAATTAATATTGATCTCTGCCCTTGTGGTGAGTTAGAATCTGCTGTTAGAATCTGTTCCTTCACAACATTTGAGCAACGTTGACGTTTTGGACATTTACACATGGATGCAACATTATTCATGAACATTTCCTAAACGTTTCTGGAATATCTTGTGTTACTTGGGGAGCTCGAATGCGGATGAGAAAGACGTATTTCCAGGTACATGTAAAAGTGATTATCCAAGAACAAAATTGATACGGAGAAAATATAGGCCTCCGTGCGATCTAAGAAGGCGAAAATTAATTTGCATTTAAAGAAATTAATACTGATTTAGTCACCTGCCCTCACGTAAGTTGTGAAAAATGAGAGCTTTCCATATCACTCCTCTTCCTCCATCTTAAAAGAGGATAGCTAGTAAGGATATAAAACCTGTGTGTGTCAGTGTGACTTCTTTAGCCCATTGGGCCGAAAGATATTGACCTACAGGTTTTTCGTTTGGTTAGTCTCTTTCCTCCAAAAACTTCCTTATAGCGGCTTTCCTTTGGGGAGGAACGAATTCCGGAACGAAACTCACATCTCCCAAAAGCGGGATTCAATGATCTCCGCAACCCTGGGGAAATGGAGCTTCAAATTTGCTGGAGCGATTCTGTGTTGAGAGAGAAAGAAGTAAGGTAAATTTTGTTTCTATTGATCCTCTCAGAGAGGAATACGAGACGGTTGAATTTTCTCGATGGAAGGGGTTGAAGAAAGGTAATGGGCGCCACCGCGCCCATTGATATCCCACCAAATCGATCGGTCACTGCTAACCACTGTTGCAATCTCAGCTCATCTCATGAATTCAGCGCAAAAAATGTCTCATGCATTAAGGCACAGAAGATCCACACACCGATACTAACGCTGAGAAAGTCATGAATTTGACAACTCTGACACGGTAGCGGTAACACTGGAGGATGGGACCGGAGCTATCGCACAAAACCTAAACGATTGACAGCTAGTTTCATTTTCATGGCGAAATAGTGCAGCACAAACAATAAAAAGGGAAATTTTCGCCACCTACAAGTCAATACCTTTCATGTGGTTGGTCTCTTTCCTCCGAAATCCCCCAGGAATGGCTATCCAGGGGGGGGGAAAGAAAAAATTTACCGGAGTGAAATTCATTTCTTCAAGTAGCAATTTTCTGTGTTCTCCACTGGTCTGGAGCAATGGTGCTTCAATTTTGCAGGAGCGTTTCTATGTCGAGAGAGGAAATATCGTATCAAATTTCGTTCCGGTTGATGCTCAAAGAGAGGAGTGCATGAAGGTTGAATTTTGTTACGGTAAAGGGTTGAAGAAAGGTAATAGGCTTCACCGCGCCTATTGATTTCCTTTTCCCCGATTTTGTCGACTCCAACGTGCACTGAACGAATGGAAGTCTTTCGAGACCAGCAAAGTCTATGCATTGAACTTCATTCCAAATGAGCATAATATGCCTTTGTCCCTTTGATGAAATAAAAAAAAAGTTTCCCTTGGCTTCCCTGCATGCGAAAACTATTCGAGACTGGACGCTTTTGCCGGACCTGTGGATGTTTCCTGCCAGATAAAATTCATTTGATTCTCCTAGCGAGAAAAGAGGGAATGGAGGGGTTGAGGAACAAGCTTTATTATCCATCATGAGAACTTGTGAGACTCTTGCACGTTAGCTCGAAGGGTCTATTCTTCCAGACGGAAATAATGGGAAATGAACCTTTAAAATGTTAACGAGTCCCTTTCTCAGAAACATCGACTGTTTCCAGAGCACATTGGCTTAGAGGAATGTAGGGCAGGAGACGAGCAACACTCGGCACAGTCAAGATCCGAAAATAAACTTATTTCCTGCTAGCTCTCGCCTTCCATATAGTATGTCGTCATGTATTTTTTTTGCTGCTTACCTATGCTACTGCGATACGGGATAGTAATAACTCTTTCAAAAACGAAGAAGGATAGCTGACCCAAATCGTCTTCCATTCTTGCACCACTGCACAAATCGTAGGTTGACTTGGAAGCACAACGGCCGCACCACAAACCCAGACTCTACCGCCTTTCGCTGCCTTTCGGAAGATGGCATTGCGCAGAAAATTTTATTTTGCGAAGGCACATACTCGGACGATGAAGAAGATTTATGCTCATGCCCCTAGTGCATATCTCGAAGCGTTTGGCCTGTGGAGCTGTCTCACACACTCATACACACACGTGTCGCTCGGCCTAGCTAGTGGCCAGGATCAACTGTGTTTATAAGTGAAATGGTAAATGTTCATGAACCAGTACGGTTTCCAAGACATTTTATTGCTGTTAACATGCGCCTTGCCAGAAATCTCAGGAGAATAGATATGAAGGACGAAGGCAATATTTTTAAGAACAATCGAATAACTCGATCATGAATTTCGTCCTTTTCTTTTCAAGCTTGAAAGAAGTCTGCAGAGCCATTCACCCAATCCTGAGCCGACATATAGGTGGAACGAACAATCCAAAAATTCTGAGCTGAAAAAAACTTGACGGTACGAAGCGACTATTTTTATATGGATATAGGGTAAAATACCCAGTGATGGGCCACTCAAGGACGTAAGGTTTTTTACAACATTGCCCGAAAAGCCTTAGTGATGGACCTATTTATCGACCGGATCGGATCCAGTGACTCACTTTTTCTCATCAGTCTATCGGTGGGTTTGGATGGCATGAAAGGTATTAACGTCAGAGTAATTAAGTGAATACGGTTGTCTTTCTTACCACATTGCATTAATATACTATTGCTTCAATAGCTCTTGTAGTGACAGACTCTTGTAGTGACACACTCGAAAGCCATTCACGATTCATCGAACTGTGATATTTTCCAAAGCCACCTGCAGGACGCCTGCAAAGTCTCTTCTGGTCACAACCTAGTTTGAGTGATCCTTATGCCACAAACAGTGAACAGCCTTCCAATTGCCTTTCAACGGTCCGAAAATGGACACATCTGCTAGCTGCAAAATGCTGGTGGCATAGGGGTAGAAGTATGATTCCCAGCTTGGAGCACAGCTCGCGCACCTGAATGGTCAAATGGGTCGCATGCCCATCGAAGAACAGAATCATCCAGAATCAACCTGTTGTCTGAGAGGGCAACACGTCCGTCCGGTACAGATTCGGCAATGTCAGGAGGCAACAGAATGTACAGAAAGATAATGAGAGGCGGTGTAATTTTTCTTTTTCACTTTCACATTCCTGGTTCCGCGAGGAGCTAAGACTTTGCTACTCTTGGGGCAGAGTTCAAACGCTGTCTCGTCCGCATTCCAGATCAGTTCCGGATCCGACAATACATCAGCACCATTCTCATTGCAGATTTTCTGGTGAAAGTTCTTAAACCAACTCCGAATGTCCTCTTCCGAAATGTATGCCGAGACCTTCGTGATTCCTTCTGGGGTGCGGAGAGTCAACTCCGGGAGCCGTTTCAAGAAACACTCGTGTCAAGTTTTTTCTGGACAGTTATTCATAAATGGATTTGACCGCTGCCAGCATCGACGTAGTTTTTTGTGCTGTCTTATACGTCATCACAATTACTTGGGAACCTCTTCCTTTGGGATACAATGATCCAATTGACCAGCCTACTCTCCTCTTCATGTGTTACAACTGGAGGTGGCCATATGGTACCTTTGGCTTTCCCTCCCAGACGAACAGAGTAGTAGCTTAGTTTTTGGCACTGCAAGCTGCTCTGACACCCCACGTACAGTGAGGTCACAGTTCCTCACGGCTAGGATTGTATTTTCCATAGCCTTCTCATCATAGGGAACCTTTGGAGTGTTTGGCATTCTGTAACGAAAATAATCAGTTATGGCAGCATAATATCCTTCCGAAAATATAAATTGGCCCATCATTAGGCCAACACGAATCGATTCACGGCACCAGTTATGGCCCAGGTGGTCCATCACTGGGTAACTTTGCGCCTGTCGATTCAGTGATGGGCCACCCTCAATCATAGCTTCCTTGATGATTAATGTCAAGTTTGACTTCCCAGCATCAGACCTCAACAGATGTGAGACGAAAACACTTCAATGACGTTCGCAGTCCTACGTTCACCTAGAAATGCAGTTTATGCACCAGCACTGGTCTTAACACGAAGCTCTTGAAAACGTGGATTTTCTGAGGGACATTCCAACAATTATCTGTCTTAGACCCGTCTGTTCGGGACGGAGTCTGGGGTTTTGCATGGATCGCCAGAACCCTCCTACAAGTAAGCACGTCACTAAGGAGGTGTGCGTAGTATGCATGCTAACTTCTTGGATATTTGCTGCGCCTTGACCCATCTCTGGCGGCTGGCCCAGCACTGGGTATTTTACCATATATACTTTTCCTAATGAATTAGTTTTTAAGAAGTTGTTCACCATCATCAAGAAGACCGTCCGCAGCTCTGTGGATCCAAAGGAAAATTCCAATATTGTTTTTACAACCCTATACTAGACGCTTTTCATGCGTCTAGAACACTCGCTGGTTTATGGGAAATACACAAAGGAGTCACAATCTACCTGCATATTTTTAATTCTGGGGAAGTCTTCTCGAACGGGAAAATGACGAAGACGCGGAGCAGGAAAATGATTGACGAATGCTTGGAGGCATTCGAGTACATAGGGGGCTCACATCGACTTTAGGCGTAATGCTTCAGATAACGCTGTTGTTAAGCTGAAGGTAAATAAGATAAGGAGAAGAGAGTGGAATGGGACTAGTCAGTGGTTCTCTCCCTTCATATCTGGTATGGCGTGAATACTACGTTATTGCCATTTGCAATATAGGTATGTTTCATTTCTCTTTCTAAATCTTATCCGCCTCTTCTCTTTTCCCTCTCTTTGCTTTCATGGTTCCCCTGGGGAACCCAAGAATGTGAAGGCTTGGCCCAAGTTGCAAAAGAAAAGAAAAAGCCATATATCCTGTAACTTGCATTCCATGGAAATAATGTATCCTAGACCAGGGGTGGAGAACGTAAAGCTCATGAGCCAAATTTGACTCACGAGCGGAAAAGTTTGGCTCATTGAGTTATGGCTGAAAATCATGGTTGTTCCTCAATTTTTTTACGAATCAAAGAATGCATATCTGTTAACAACTTCAGGAAAAATTCTGTTTTTTTTTTGTTTTTTTCCTGAGAATCTGTCGCTTACAAGCAGCTAACTTAGTCTTAATGTTGCTCACATGGCCAAAAATGTTCCCGACCCCTGTCCTAGACTCTTCCCTGTCAGCCAGAAGCGAAGTGATTCCATTCGTGCAATCGTAGTGTATTTCTAAGTATTTCATGAAACTCTTATCAATTAATTTATTTTCCAAAATATCCCTTACGAACAGATCCTATAGGATCCTACACTCTTAGAAAAAGGGGAGCGATTTTTCTCATAAAAGAGAGTAAAATAGCTAACTCCAGTATCACCCCCCTTTCACTCTGGGAAAGGAGCGAATTTACTCCATCACCAAGGAGTAAAATTGCCCTCCTCCTCCATGAGTAAAACGCTACCATCAGAAAGTGATGGGGATGTCATGCAAATATGAAAATTCTCATTTATACTGTGTCGCTTTCGCTCTCGTACAGGCGTTGACCTACCACTTAGAGTGCATGAGATTTTTGAAAAATAAATATCATATAGGATTCTGAGAGAATCCTGTAGGATCCTATAGGCTTTTTCTATGAGGGATTCGTCTCGTCTACAAACGTTTTTGCGGATAGGAAAGAAGCGATGAAAGTTTTCATTCGCAAGATTCATATATAGTATACTTGAGGAAGAGATTAGGAGATGCATTCATCAGCCATTCGCATGGTTAGGACTTTTTTAAACGGTGGAATAGGCCTATCTGTGGAATCCCTAAATCCTGACTTCTTTACTTTCAGCCATGATTTGCCCCAATGCCGAGATGTGTCGCTAGGAATTGTGGATTTTATCATGTCTGATGGTGACCAACCTAATCTCCCAGCTACGAGGTATGTACCACTGCATTCTCTCTCCAATCTCTACTGTGAGCCTATAAATAATGTGTCACTTTTCAAATCCCCATTTCTTTTAAATATGGTTACATGAAAACATTGCACGCTCTTATTCATACTCATCATTTTCCTGAAAACTAGCTGAAATATTCTGATGATACGAGCATGTAATAATATTCAGTCGGAAACTTTTCTAGCCACGTATTAAAAGTCTGTCTTCGAATAAGTCTGTCTTTGTGTTTCACAATGCGACAACATGGTCTGGTTTGCATGGGTTTGTTTCTATTTTCTTAAAATTAAGCAGTGTTTGAACAAATTACGCCTTGGGGTTTTCGATGCCTCTTACTTGGGCCAAAAATTATATAAAGGTATTCAAGTGGCCTATTTTTTTTATTGAATCACGGGGACTGAGTCTGGAAACCAATTTCCTGACCGAGCAATCAAATAATCGTACAATCTAATCCTCGGAAGCTTTTCAAAAGAATTTAAACCAATTTTTGAAGAAACAAGCATTAAGGTTAGGATTATGTGACATTTACTTTTCATAGACATCCACACACTCTAAAAGACACAATGTTAAAAGTGGCTCAATCATTATTAGCCCACCATGTATATTCCTTCCGATGGGTGAAGAATCTTTACCTAAGTCTTACATGCCCTCAATGAACCTATAATGGCGGTCTTCTAATAAATTATCTTTTTTTGGAAGACCGCCTTGTCGTGGTATATTGTTTTTAGGGAATAAAGCAACATTCCACAGTTTCATATTCATGACTATGATAACATGAGCCTCTCTAACGCAGATCTCGCTTCTGGGTTTAGTAGAAATAAAATGTATACAGGCATTCCTAAATGTTGAGCGCCTACTGATACGCTAAATCGTATTAGTAGATGCTCAATATCTGCGTACGGTACGATCGTACGGTATATGTTCACCATCGGAGATTAAAATTTCAGGGTGCGTTGTGAGAAAAGGTTTGGTCAATTCCTTATGGAAAGTGAAAGGGTCTACTTCCACCTGCATTTAAGATGCGACGCAATATGTTCTTAGCTGGTGAAATATACATTTGTTGTGACTTTAGTCAGATGAAGTAGTCAGAGATGATTCCAAATTGATATTCTACTATATCCCATCAATTGGATAATTTCCGTAGCAGCTTGAAGAGCAGTCTTAATGCCAAATTGAATTAACTGAATTGATGCCGAAGAAGTGGTTGGTAGTTAAGTCGAAAAGTAGAATTCCTAATATTTGGTCTTTTGGACATTTTCCTAAGCTGTATCGATCTCCGCATGAAGAACACTTCCAGGCAGGCTGTGAAAACTCGTGCGCACATGAGAAGTTCGATTTCTTGATAGAATAAACAGATCCTACAGATCCTGGATTTCATAAATTATTCAAACGTGATTTGAAAATCTATTCAGATTAAGGATTTTGTGCTTCGGAATCACGTTCTACATATCTTTCTGCAGATGAGCGGAGAAGAACGAACATGGGATGTGATCAATGCAAATCGTGCCAAGCTTCGGAATGAAGTGAACTTGAATGATTTGCTTCTAAATTTGAGCAGCAGAGGAGTTTTTTCGACCCACGAGGAGACGAGGATCAGAGAAAAAGATGACATCACCAGACGATTTGATGAGTTCTTCTTTACCCTCTTCCACAAGAATCCGCAAAGACACTTGGATGACTTCTTCCAGGCACTCAATGAGATAGGAAGAGATGACGTTGCGGGCTTTTTGCAAGGTGTGATGAGCTGCGTAGGGTAAAATATCCCGAGTTGGGCCTGTTCTTAATGATGGGTCACAGCGCAGGAAACCTCCAAAAAATAAGCATAAGTAGCACGCACGCACCTGCGGTGACATTGGCTACCAACTTGCGAACATATAAGGTAAACATGGTATGTCACTTCAGAGGTGTGCTTGATTGATGCGCCTATGCTTAATCGCCGGAATTTTTCTGCACTGCGGAGCATCACTGAGAACCGACCCAAAACAGGTCCATCACTGGCTAATTTACCTTATCTCATATTCCTGTCATATTGCTCAGATAGCAATAAAAAATGAACTTTAAAGGGCTTCTTGAATAGTAATTGTTAACAGCGAACTGCCAAGACCTCCTTGAAATTTAAACGCTTTCAAGGTAGTAAACATTTTAAAATTCCTCCTTACTTTCCTTCTAGGATTATGAAACACCTTCATATGCAAAAGTAATTCTTTCTCCAATAGGTGCAAATGGACAGCGACAGCAAGAAGGCATGAAGTAAGTCTTCCAGTTGCTAATTCACGCAGAATGGAGGCAGGAAAGACCGGAGGAACAAAATGAAATTAAGAATTTTGTGATCATGTATCTTCACATGCTTCTAGCATGTTGTCATACAGCTAGATTGAAGTTAACACTTTTATCCATCGACATTTAATAAACTTCTATGACCTAGTAGGTAATTCACAACTAAGACAGCTAGAAAGGCCCAAAGAGATCATTCACAACAGTGCAATAGCTTTCTTCGAACGAAAGCAAGTAAGCGAGCGGTTGAGTGAGTACCTGTATAGAGGTTTTCACAAACACAAGTACTGACAAGGTTTCATGTAGCATCCGGCCATGAGTAGGTCAATCAAACTCGTCCTTAGTATCTCTGGAGAAGACAACCACATCCTCTTGTATTGAGAAGGCCAAGAGAGTATTTATTAGTCAATGATTCGGACTACTGTCCCGTCTTGTTAATCGAATAACAGTAACGCTATCTCTCTGCAACAAAGGCTAGATTTCGACTGAGTAAAGAGACACAGCCATATTTTCAGGTTTATTGAAAGTCGCCGACGCCTCCTCGAAGGAATTCCAGTTCACAAAGTCTGTCAGAAGCTTGGAAGACTGCTCACTCAAGAGGATGTCACGTTTATAAGCTCAGATTCAGGAACAGGACTGACTAATCTATTGGATACTTTGTGCAACAAGTCATTGAGGTACGAGGAGTGGTACCTCGATTTATTAGTGGCTTTGCAGGATCTCACTCTAATGTCGAGAGCAGAGGAGCTCGAGAGTAAAACAGGTGAGACCGTACAACTCTTATTGTGATACTAGCGGTATGAAACTCATGACCTATCAATATATCTCTTATCTACGTGCTAACGAAATTGTTTAACAAAGTCAGAATACCCGAAGCGTTCGGCGCTCTCCAATGCAAGTAAATCTACTAATTTATCTGTAGCGTACATTTTCGACTCTCATATCTTGTGAAATGATGAAACTCCGTCTGAAACTTCGTTATTTTGCATTGTCACGTCTTGATATTTCTATTTTCGAGACGTCACTGTCTACTTAACTTCAGCAAAGTAGAATAAATATATATTTTCCCTCCAAGACCTACATAGAAATCCATAATTTTCTCTACCAACTCCTATAGGTTTCGGATAGAACCTTTTTTTCGGTCATGTATCTTCCCAATAGGTACCTAATAACTAGTTAGCTACTTAGTTTTCCTGAAATAAATATTCTATGAGCTATTTACCAGGTATGTAAAGATTGTTCTATGTACAACCTACAACCTACTATGCCTGCCCTTATTAGTGGGGCGAATTTTTATTTTTTATATACCCCAGGGTATTTACTCCACAACTAGGACTTTCCCTGAAATTAGCACCCAGATGGCTATTGCTATACCGAATTGTAGCTCTCAACTTACATCTCACCATTTCACTGGATAGAAAAATTTTCGGAGAAAGCGTGCAACAGAAAAAAGAACCGCATGGGCGTATCTGCCAATAGTAAGATATTCCCTAAAATGAGTCCATCAAAACTACATTTATTCCGAATGTCTGCTTTCTGTTATATGTGGCCGTTTTACTCCAGCAAACATGTATCGAGAAAAAGTCGCCCCAAATATTATACCCCCTTGGTGATTCATCCTAGATGATAAATATTGGCACCATAGCGGCTACAAAAGTACCATGTTTCATCTTTCTATCTCATCAACAGCGTGATTAAATTTTGTTTCATTCAGACTCAAAGTTAAACTTGAACCGAATGCAGCGACCTTCAAAGAATCAATGGGTGCTTCTCATCTTCCTTTTCTTAGCTTCTCCCATGAGGGAGAAGTTTTTGCAAGCGAGTGAGGGCCATCATTGACTGAATCACGTCCTCATTGCAATTCAGCTGCCTAATCTTTACTATGCTATTGGAAGGCGAATGATAATAATGAACGTTCAGCAGGCAGATAGGAACTGTCTGTGGTGACAAGGCTTCCTTAAATACAAACTTGTTCTCAGATTTTGCTGAAATTATTTCAAATCCATGAAAATTCAATAACGACGAAGAATTGGTACTTGCGCACCAGAATAGCTACAAGCTTTTAACTTGAAGATAGAACGGTGCGTTTGTGACAAAACTAGCCAGTACCATTTTTTTAAAAACCGATTGTACAAGGCAGTCTAGCAGAGAAATTATCTGGCAACTCGAGATTAGCGGTTGTGCTTAAGTGTGCGAACAGAACACGTTGGGTCCTGATCATTTAAGTTTGGGCTTCACTTTCAGATTGAAACCATTTTTCCCGGACATCGATAAAAATAATGCTTTTTCAACGATAATCACGGTGATAACGATGAAGCGTCGTTGGGAAATTGTTTTCCTCTCTACCCATGAGCTTGGTCCCAAGCTTTTATAGGCTGCTGCTGCAAAGGACGTTGGCTGCTCGAAGTCGATGGTGTATCACTGTGTCGAAACGTTCAAAAAGGCAAGCGGGGGTAGCGGATGAATTGGGAAGGGGAAAAATACAGAAGAAAACTGGAAAGGAGGATGAGCTGATTGTGCAAGAATGTCACTTGATCGTCCACCACTCCGCCAGTCGTTCTGAACATTTCGACCCAGTGATACGCGGTGGACTTTCGGACAGTCAACGTGCTTTGCAACAACAGCCAATGAAAGCTTGGGACCAAGCTCATGGGTACAGAGGAAAACAATTTCCCAACGCTGCTTCATCGTTATCACCGTGATTATTAAAAAAAAAATTATTTTATCTCCATGTACCCTAAAAATCGCTTTTAATCAAAAGGTGAAGCCCAAAATTTATGGATGATAAGGACCCAACGTGTTCTGTTCGCACACTTAAGCATAACCGCTAATCTTGCTCCGTTCCTCAGATAGGCCCATTAGGTTTTTTTTGCTCTGACCTGAAAAGGCCCACATCAGGAGAGTATGGGTCAGGTTCATCAAGATTGGAAATCCAGAGGAAGGCATGATTGCGTTACGAGACCTGAATGAAATGTTATGATTTATACAACAGGGTAAAATAGTTGTTGGGAAAAAGATGATGAAATTTGATCTCCATGCATCACTTTCCATAGAATTAAACATCAGATAACCTAAACCATAATAGCAGCGCCTTCTAGTGCCGATTAATATTCTAGAAGTCTCTGACTTTATACTATTGCCATAAAAATTTTTAACGATTCGTCTGTCAACTATCTCATCAATTATTTGTGGGAAAATTGACCTATCACAAAATGTGTGATAAAGAAATAGAACATTTAAAAGATTACATCATATCCATGCCTGTATGATCATAGATTTGAACGCCCGCATCGGCAGAGTAATGGTCAATTTCATCAAGATTGGAAATCCAGATGAAGTCACGAAGAGGATGACTGCCCATGGAATTCTTAACAATGACGAAGTTGGAAGTCTCAACAAAAACATATACAACGTCCAAAAAATGTCCTGTCTGGGTAACGTCCTGGGTAGCAAGAAAGGGAGAAACCTGCCCCTCATATGTAGGTGCCTCCTCGAGAGTGGCTATCGTTCTATTGCTGAGGACCTCCTCCACTCCTCCGAGGAAGAACTCATGAAGTACACCGCTGGATCAGGTTAGGAATTCGCTCCATGCGTAAAAGGTATTAACACTTTCAAGCCTGACAATTTGAATGCGTCATGGGTGTAGGACGTCATGTAACGGGTATAGGCCTGAAAGTGTTACATATTTCCCCTCTTTTTAAGAGTCAATTTAATCATAGAAGCTTCAGCGGGATGTAAAGGCGTAGGAATGACGCTCGGGGAGCATTCAGTTGTGACTCGAGTCATGGAACAAAGCACGGAATGCATTGTGAGATAAAGCAGGAATCTGACCAGAGTTTATGCTATGACCCGGTCTAAGAGATCGAGTCATTCCCTCGTGTTATCTCTGCAAACACGGCGTCTTCCATGGAAGGCATTCATCAATAAGTGTACGTACCCAGATCCAGGTGGGATCTGGGTACGTTCCAGATGGGTAAGCTTTTAATATCAATGAAACCCAAATGCATTGGCATTATGATCTCAATCTTACATTAACGGGTCTTCCCTTCATGCGAAAGTGTCGTTTGAAGGTGTCCATACAATTCAGTGGCAAAGTAATTCCAACAAAAGTATCTTCAGCAACATTGCAAAATGTCACTTTCACCTGCAACTCAAGTTTTCATTGAAATTTAATGCTAGGAGTACGCCATATCAGTAGATTTTTAAAATCAAAATTTCACTTATAATGAGTGCTCCAGGTATGCCGTTTTATTAAGGGAAAATCTATCAGGACAAAATATCAATGTCAATATTCTTTCTGCAACTAATATCCTGATTGCTTTTGCCGCCACATGTGTAAGTCTAGCTTCTTTTTTCCGGGTATATTAGAAAAGTAAATCCACAAATTCCTTCTCAGGGTGGATGGATGGTGGGTGGAAACTGTGAGTTGGATCAAATATAGAGCCTCATCTGGAGTTTCTGTGCAACCAGTGGCAGACACAAGTATCGCATTAAAATGAAACTGCAATGAATAAGGAGTTCCGATAAATCGTCTGGAAATAATTCCTTCACCACGTCAAAAATAAACCATTCATGCAGGGATGAATTCAATTGTCTCGGTTTTCTCATTTTTAATAAGGAAACCACTGTGCATGGAGTTCCGTGAATGTGCAGGGGTGTTGGCGATACCTCGCCAGCACCCCTGCACATTCACCCCAAGATGTAAGCTGTTGCGAAGAAAAGACTGAGAACTGCTGGGATAGATCCATTAGGATCAAGAGTCGCCACATAGTTTTTTTTTTTAGACTTCTTTCATTCAACGAAAAACAGCGATGGGAAATTGTCTTCCTCTCTACCCATGAGCTTGGTCCCACGCTTTCTTTGGTTGCTGCTGCAAAGCACGTTGGCTGCTCAAAGTCGACGGCGCATCACTCAACCTCATCACAGATCACCCAACCACGGCGAATCCTTTAGTGGGTAAAGGGGTCAGGCTTATATTCACACTTACTTCGATATTAATGATTCATTGCACCGTTCAATATTTCAACAACATCCTATCTTTCATTTCATCGATACAACAGAAAGAATAAAAAAAATTACTGTTGTTAGAAGAATCCAATTTTCACAAAAACCACGAAGCGAGTAAAAGGAAGTAAATGAAATGAAATAAATCAGTTTCTTTTTCGTGCTCTTCCTTGTTCTTTCTGAACTGTTTTTTGTTCTGCTTGATTAATTTTTTACGTTTCTGAGATTTTCCTTTGTCAAAATTTTGATTTTCTGAACCCTTCACCCCCTTAAAGACGGTCAAGTTTTAGACTGTTCGAAAGTCCCGATTTACCATGAACCTGACAAGCGCAAAATCTGTGATCATCTTTCCAACTTACCCTGTAAGCATTGCAACGGGAATCTAATCTTGAAAGGGAATAAAAATCTACATGGTTACATCTTGTCAATATTGTAAAACTGAACATTCGTTATTCTCACAGGTACGCGTGAAGTCAATTATGGATGCGGCTAGAATATCCTAGATACTGGAATGACATGGAACTGAAGACTTCCAATTCGGAACTTCAAATCCATTCTATTCCCTTTATCCAAACAGATATGGACGTATATGGCGGAACAATGCTTCTTTCAATGAGAGAAGAAAGGAGAAGTTTGGAGGAATGCATCGAGCAATTGAAGGGAGTGGTTGATAATTTATCTGGGGAACGGAATTCCGAAGAACGCATGGGCCAGATTTTTGTGAGTTCATTTTAAGTTTCCATGGTCTGAAACAACAGGCCGCATCGGACGCCATGGGATCTTGCAATAATTCAATTTAATCAAGAAGGAGATGGGAAGTTCTTCGATCAGTTTCTATTTGCGAGCAGTCTTGACTTTCTTGCAGTTGGATATTGGCAAGAAAGCAAATAATAACCCAAGGACTAAACATTGGGAAAGTGGTGTGGGAACACGCCTCTGAAAGCTAAGAAGCAATTCTCAAGAGTACTTGATTTTGCAAATAAATAAGCGGCAACGCTTGAAGTGCTCTCCATGGCAGTTCTGCACGTCGTCCCCTCAATCTTCCTGCATAGCTGCAGCCATCTCCTCTTAGTAAGCTTTTCATAAAGAACCTCCTCCTAAAAGAAGTTGCCATAAAAATTGCATGTAAGAGCATATAAAAAGAAAAATATTTGGTACCTTGCTATTGCTAACAGATGCGAATTTCCAGCCAAGCCCAGTGCCATTTATGTCGTTGACCGATTTGACCTTCCTTATCTCAAAGATTATTGGATGGAAAACAATTTCTAGTTCACGTTCACAATAAGGGGGAAATAAACCAGTAGTATTCTGATTCAGAGTTGGTCAATCGCAACTATTACTATTATGTCTCTGGAGGTGCTCGACCTGTTCCTCAAAGTCTGGGAAATACTCCACATCTCCACGATCGCCGTAAATCTGCCCTGGGACATAATTATAGCGATCTCCACCCATGAGGTTCATACTTACATTTTCAAGGTCGCTTTTACCCAATTTAATGGGGTCGTGGTTCGAGCATCCCCAGGAGCGTCCTCCAGTGATCTCGATCCTGGGTAACAGACTCAAGCTCAGCTGGTGGGATGCCGAGCCTTACATGACAAAGACGAGCGACGTAATCACTCCACCTTGTACAGGGTCTACCGACAGGTCTTTTGCCGGTCATCTTGGCTTGGAAGACTCCTCTTGGGAGCCTCTCAGGGGGCATGCGGCAGACGTGTCCAAACCACCTGGCCTGAAACCTCTCAATCCGGAGAAGCAGCTGCTCGACGCGGAGACTCTCGCGGATGGCACAGTTCCCGCATCCGATCAGGGCACGTTACGCCAGCCACTCGACGCAAGAACCTCATTTCGGCAGCTTATATCCGCGATCTGGTGCTTTCGGTCATTACCCAAAGTTCATGACCATAGGTGAGGGTGGGGAGATAAACACTCTTAAAAACCGAGAGTTCTGCTTCCCGTGAAACTTCCGATCTGCCAACCACGGTTCGCCAAAGTTCCTGCAGAACTGCAGAAGCCTTGGAGATGCCTTTACATTTAGATGTCCAACAGTTCCTTAATACTGATACAGATGCTTCGGGATTCTTAAAATTATGAAGAACTTCCCAGAAGTGGTTATGACGCTGCAATAACTGATTCCTCTGTAGATTTTATCAAGACGTTAGTAGTTTCCTGACTTATTGAATGCGTAGGAAGAAAATAATGAATTAATGTAATTTTTATGCTAAAAATATTTGATTAATCTTATATTTTCACGAAATACATTAATCACTCGTAATAAGCACGCTTGCCTTTTCTAGAGCAGAATATGCTGCAACTGCTCCCTCACCACTGGTGTGAGATGAGAATATTCATATTTCCCATTTTCGTTTGCGTGGAAGGAATAGAGAACTGCAGCGTCGTATTCTTCTTTATTATCAGCAAGTTCTGACATTCTCAATTAAATTCTCCCAGGAGTTCTTTCAATAACAAGAAACATCAAGGTAGTTTCTTTGGTGGTCCATAATCACACCTACTTCCTTATTTCTATTGAAGTCTGTAAAGTAGGAAGTAGGTGCTATTTTCCTTTCCCTAAGTACTACCATTCAGAGCTCATTACGAAACAGAACGAAATGGCATACAGTGGAGACAAGTAAGTTTACCAGTACTGACATCTGTCCTTACTATTTATATTTCTCGCGCGAGAGTAACTTTTAATTCTTCTTCAAGTATACATGTTTGATCGCTGGAAGAATAGCAAGGAACCCCATCATCCCTGATCTCCGGAAGTACTAGTTCATTTCCGACCTCGATTCTATTCCATAAGAGGAGCAGGGGGGGTTCAAACTCTCCTCCTCTCCGATGTACCTGAATGAAGGTAGGAAATCTTCGACAGGTTACTTTCAAGCTTAATATTGCAACTAGCCTTGGTGACTTCATACAGTGATTATTTTGACCCGACTGTCCCGATTGAAATGTGATATTTGGCAAGTTTTATCTATGAATATTGATCCTTGAAACTTTAATCGCTCTCATGGAACACTAATGTGAGGATATTCGCCAAGTGTCTTGATCTTGATCGCTCAACTCCTTCATGGTCATGCTTGTTTTAGCGATGGGTATATTATTTGTCTGTAGAATTGCGACAGTATATGCAAGTACGCAATAAGAGTGAAAAAGTATGCATAATTTACTTTTCTCTTCTCTTCCAGGATCAAACGAAAGTAATTAGCAAGAACGTTGACAAACTGCTTGAAAAACATACGGGTGAAACTGCGCTTCTTCCACAAGTATGTACACTGCTCTCCCATTTCGATTAGGGTAACTTGGGGGAATATGGCCATTGGGGTAATATGGCCCTTCACAAGGAATCCCCTTATAGACTGAATAATTAGTTTGGGCGAATTTAAAAAATAGTTATATCGAAGAGTACATGCAATTGTCGAAATGTGTAGACCTGTTCATCAATCCAGTTCCCACAGGAATTCGGGATACATCGATGTCTTAAAAGTCATATGCATACGATTCTTTGACTCATGACCGTGGGACTAATATGAGCCTTGAGCAACATAAGCGTATATTTCCTAATAGCAGCATGGATACAGAAACCATTACTTCTAAGTTCTTCTATGGTCTCTCCAGAATGCTTGTGCAAAGTGCTAGCCCCTTCACTTGCGGTTTGTAGGCAGTGTTGTCAATTTTGTAATGCGAGCCAATATGGGGAAATATGGCCATCTCGATTTGGGGTAATATGGACACATCCTTCATTTCATGTTAGCACCGCACAGACCTATTGATACTGTCTGCTTCCTTTCGTGTGGGATCTCAGACTGCAAGAGATCATCCAATGCACTTCCTCTGGATATATGGATAGACGTACTGGACATCTGGACGAAATATGCTGTACATGAGGAGGCCGTGCATGAGGGTATGCTTATGCACCTCCTTCTGCATCGCTTGACATTCTCCAGAAATTTTTGTTGCACGAAACTTGAATGCAAGTAAATATCCCTCGTAAAAATAGGACATTCTGTGGTTTTTGGCACTATTTATCCATACATGCAAAAACAACGCAACATTTTTCCTGCAATGTAAGACCTCTTATTTTACACTCGTAGCGCATAGTCACTTTAATCGATGCTTGATCATTCCTCTTACACACACACAGTCTCTAGATATTGTCTCCCAATCACGTGCATTGTTACTCAAAAGCAAAAGCGTTGCAATCCTGTTTTCCACAACGGTTCCTCGAGTCAGGTAATGATGTCGACTTCTTTGTTTGTCCTCGGTGCAGTTAATGTTTCTTTTTCAACTGCTGAGAGTCCTTTATCATGTTTCAAGGTACTCAGCATGTTCCAGCTCATTTCACACATTCATGGACAATCTGGAGTTATTTTTCAGAAGTGGCCATATTCCCCCAACTATAGGGTTAATATGGCCTCTTGAGACCTACTCAAAAAAGACTCAAAGGTGCCATAACCATGATTTTTTTTGCATACCCCTTGCTGGCATTTAGCAAAGGAGATATCAATCAATATTTTAGAAACATTGTAAAAGTCAAATTCAACCTTGATGGACCATGATGACCAGGTTTCATTGGGTAGGGCCATATTCCCCCTAATGCCTGGCCATATTCCCCCAACAATAGGGGTAATATGGCCTCTTGGGACCCATGTGAAGAGGTCCCAAATACTCTTTTCCCATTTACTTTTCTGCACGGATTTTGTTGGGAATAAATAAAGGAGACATCGATCAATATTTTCTGAATATTGGCAAAGTTTCATTTCACCTAGACGTGACGCTATAACCTGATTTCATTTTTGGTGTCTATATTCCCCCAAGTTACCCTATGCTTCTCTCATCGATGTGAGTCACACGCGCTCTAGTGGCATAGCCACACAAGGTAGCTATCTGGGCCATATAATTTTTCTTGTGAGCAAAGTTGAGGAAAGGTCCCCTAAGACTAAGGAAAATTGTCGGGACCAGTTAAAGATGGATGATGATGTTGACAATACATCAAATGACAAAAGGTGTTTCACAATATTTGTGGATTCTTTAAATATCAATAAATAAATCTTTAAATGGATTCCTTAAATATCGATGCCACATTCCGTTCGCTAACTTCTCCCTCTCATTTAGCTGTCTTGAATTAAGGCAATTCCAAAACCTTTCGTGAAGCGGATATCATGAAAATTTATTTTCACTGCATACACAATTATCATAATATTTGATCCTGGATAATTTTATATCTTGAATTTATTCCACATGTGTCTCTTTTTGCCCCCTCTAGATACTGTTGCAACTGCAAAGTAACGACATCGAAAAGAAAGAGCAGGTGAGCTTCTTGAATGAAAGCCAATTCACGCCAATGAAAAATTGCAAGCTGAAATCTTGTCATTCAAGCACTATCTGCTACGCTCCCCATGTACAGTGCATTTCATGGTTCTCTGAGAAAAGTGTAGAAGTAGGTTATGTATCATATTCAGAGACATCATGGAAGCATTGCTTAATGTGATAGGTTACAATGTGAATACAGTCTCATGTAAAATGTGAGCGAATGATCCAAGTTTTTCAACGACAGGATAAAATGATAGTTAACTATCAAATCTGTTGTTTATCAGAGAAAATAGAAAAAAAACGAAGGCTAGATTTGATAAAATTTTAAGACTGAGTAATCTATATGCCATAGAGCGGAACATCAGCCTTCGTGGGGGAGAAACGCACTCAAATATTTTAAAGCACACTTTTATAATCTGGCACATGAGATTGTAGGAATTCTATCCCGCTTGCTTGAATTCTATCCGCTATATGCTTGCTATCCCATGAAAGATTCAAAAGAAGGTAAAATTAGGTCAAATCAGTCGCATATCGCCACTAGATTCTCGTCACTTGATCCTTGTCATTAGATCTAAAGGCTAAGATTGCTTTCCAATCGTTACGATAGTTCCTTAAAAAACAACAATGCATATCTCTGTGCAGAAATCTCTCAGCAAATATACTTTGCCTAGCTTATTGAATGCATAAGGAAGTTGGTCAGAATGTAAACCCTGCCTGCCTATATGGTGAGAATGTCCGACTCTGACAAAAAATTTTTACCTGAGGTGAAATTGGGAAGGTGAAACTGACGGTTTTCTCCCCTCTCTCATGCTGTCAGAAGAACATTCAGGTAAAGATTAGGGGAAAAAGCGGTAAAAAAATTAAAAGAATGATGGGGTAACGTTTTGTATGCGGAGAGTAATGAAAAATAGCAAATTTGGAATAAATTGAAAGCTGCTGCACCAAACAAGTTATGTTGAGTTTCAGTTGAAAAAGCAGTTGATATGTTTCCATGTAAAATTTCATATTCCTAGGAGTCTCATGATTTTTTATGGAAAAATATTTAACCAAATACAGGGGTTGCAATGGGTTTTAATTTTACATAGAGCTTCTTGAGCTTCTCTTGGCAAAAACGCTAAATTTCTAGCAAAATGTAAAAAGGTGGCAGCTTTTTGCTGACTCATACGAGGGTATGAATTATATGATGGCCCTTTGTGATGTGGTATGAATGCACGGTTACGATTTTTAACTGGGCTTTTTTTTCGTTCGCTTGGTGAATAAGATGAAGGCATTGGAAGAACGGCTTCAGGAGATGTCCATGACATTGGCAAAGGAGGAAGGGCTCAAAGCAAAGCATGAAAAGAGAAGTAAAAAACTTGAAAGGCAGCTCGAGAGGCAACAGAACTTCATGCAACAGAAAGAGACAGAGCTCAACGAAACCAAAGCTAAGGTCCCTTACCATATCCCACTATTGGTTGCAAAAGCTAATATTGTTGGAATGAGTCGCAGGAAAGATAAATAGTAATTACGTTTACAGATGAAGGAGACGTCGAAGCAGATGGAGACCTTGTCAAATTCACTAGAAGAGGCGGAGGAGAGGACTAGTCATGTGTCAGAGCTGAAGACAAGGCTTGAAGCTCAAAATAACGAAATTCAAGAGCAACTACAGAGGGAGCAGTCACTACGTGTAGAGAGTCTTTGTCTCGAGTTGTTTTGATATCGATTTCAGAAAGTAAGATAGGATGACAGCAAACGGTTACAATTATGTAGAACACTAAGTGACCGCTTTTTTACTAAGCGCTAACATCCAACTGCTCTACGTGAAACAGATGGAGACCTTGTCAAAGTCACTAGAAGAGGCGGAGGAGAGGGCTAGTCATATGTCAGAGCTGAAGACAGGGCTTGAAGCTCAAAATAACGTAATTCAGGAGCAACTACAGAGGGAGCAGTCACTACGTAAAGAGAGAGGAAAAGATCTCTCCGAAACTAGATCTAAGGTATCTAATTCCATCCCATCTTCAAAGGGAAATATTTATTTTATATATATACTGTACAAGAGATTGATGCTTGGCTGCGCAGATGCAAGGGATGCAGCAGCAATTGGAGCAATTCCAGTCGCAGATGTCACAGGTAGGGATGCTGAGGTTCCTTACTAATCTTTTTAGACTTTCACTGAAGCAAGCTTGAATTTCTGTCTGATGAAATACCTAGGATGACCTCTTATAGCTCCTAAAACTAAATCCCCGAAGGGTAGCAGACAAAACATCCACAACTGAAGATTTGATATTTCAAATTATCCAGTTAGTACCTAATTGTACAGCTGGTATCCTGAACTTTGTGCAACGGCATCTCCTGTTCCTTACAGGACCTCCATAAAAGCGGATTAGCTCCTGTCAACGGAATTGATTGAAGGAAGCCTGATTGCATTACATGGCAAAGGAGCAAGGTACACAGCGAAATAAGTTTCAGGAATGGAACATGAGTGTAATAAGCCAGAAGAAAAAGTTGTCATATAATTCCCCTTTGTATGCTTATAAAGGGGTGTTGTATGACAACTTTGCAACAGTCAGGAACTGTGTCAGACCCCTTTGTATCCCCCTTTGCTCCCCGTTATACTCCCCCATGTGAACATGAAAAATCTCACTTAGTATACTCTACATTCACACTCTTCTGATGAGCATCATCACCCTTCAACAATGTACCGCTTGCACTATGCTTCAGGTTGTCGACTACATCATCCTTTCTCCACTATTTGAAAGAGTCTCTCTCAACTAAAGAGTCCAGAGACTGTTTAGTACATAGAGACTCTTTGATATTGTGCTTAAGAGGATACATTTAGAATTTCAGGCGTATTTCCCTGGTTGTCTGCAGTGGCGGTTCGTAATATTTTACGCTAATGGTTCGTCTATGGAGAGAGGTAGGCAGGGGAGGTCACTGTCAACCCCCTCTCCATAGTCGCCTGTATGTGGGAAAAGTTCAGTTACCCCATGAAGGGTATTGGGAAACGATGCACTCTCTAATACCATTGAAATATTGGACATTTACCCGCCATCTTGGTTCAGTTGTGAAAACCTTGTTTCTTTATATATGGGAGATAGATGCATTGCACATACAGTAGGACAAATGACTGATTCAAAACAACTTGGGGCAAATGGACAGTGAACGTGATCCTTGGCACCTGATCATGTGAATGGAGGCCTAAGGATATAAGGACTAAAGATGATGTAAGCAATGACAAAAGAGCATGTCATTTTGCAATTCTGAAATTCTGCATTTCGGAAGATGCCACGAGGAAACTATGCTGATTTACTTATTTGCGGTATCCGTATGAACGCAAGTGTCGACGAACTGACGAATTGCCCCGTATTTCCTCATGGATGTTTTAAATCCCTGGATTCCCAGCAGGAGGCGGGAGGCACTGCATTGAGCGATGCCACCGTTCCCTTGCCAGTACAAAGGCAACCCTCGTCTCCTCTTTCATCCGATAGATGGGGAGACGAAAGGGAATCTCATATTTTCCGTGAAGATTGCCTCCCCTCCCTTTCGTGAGAGAGATTTGCAAATTTAATTTCGAAAAGGCACATCCTCGGATGATAAGGAAGAGTACAGTCAAAAGTTCATATCTCGAAGCGTTTGGCCTGTAGAACTCACACAAACTCAAACATACAACTGTCGCTTGCTCTAGTTAGCAGTCAGGATCATGCACGCTATTTGTTTAAACTCTGGTTTGAATAAACTAGTGGCATTTAAACCTGCTGGAAACCGTACGAATCCTAGTGCTCTGTTGTAGTGGAAGGTGTTACCATGATATTCAGATACTATCACCCAAGTAGCACCCGTTTGTTCAGTGTACGATGTTCATATGATAAACGTTTCTTTCACGGTATTGACAAACGTTCCATGAACATCATTTGCAGCGTTCCACTGTCCGCTTGAATCTAAAAAAAAATTTTGAGAGGTCAAAAACAGTTCCAATTCTACGTTTTCATGAATTCATCAAATACGTGAATCGGTAATTCCCAGAAAGGGGATCAATGAATTTTCTTCTTCAGAATTTATCCAATAAGCAATTAGCCTCTTGGATATGATCTTTTCATAATCTAAATCACATTCAGTCCAAGGAAAGCCCTGCTCCCGTGACAGAGGCCAATGACTATCATGTAGCTGCAGGGCATACGAGGTATTTTAAATAAAATTAGAACTGCAAAATTATTATAACCCCTCTGTAGGAGTGGCTGGCACGGCGCTAGACGGGTGGATGGGATGGTCTCCCCCCCCCCCCACCCGCACAGAGCGCAAATTTTAGAAGAAAATTAGACTTAGCAACACTTTAAGTCCAATTTTGATTTCAAATTGTAATTCTTGCCCAGGTTTGAAATGCCGAAATTCCCATTCAAAACTGCACAAAATTTTTCAGAACAGCCGTATCTGTTGCAACTACACATTAAAGTACAACATTGTGCAGCCAATTAGTCTAGTTGGAGGTACCATCTTACCATTTCTGGGGTTAGTCTGGTAGAGAAATGTGTGGTTGTGCAATGATATAACAGAATCTTCCATCACATTTTCAGTTCTCTCATATTCAAGTCAGACACGCCTTGCACTGAATTACGCACTTCATAGGAGTGATGCTATGCACTTTCATCTCCTCATACCCATTCTCATGAAGCCACCTTGGAAACTGAACCGACATCCTTCCAGCTTTCGAACCAGAGTTGTCAGTAGACTTCCTGGATAGGCCTGGGTTATCTCTTTAAACCGAATTGTAGGAGAATTAAGATATCTTCCCATCTGCTGCATGTGAGGAAAGATCAGCTACTGTGTGGAAGGTATTGGGGATGAATTCCAGCTGTATCAGGAATTGACCCAGTATAGCGACTGCTTTGGCGCCATCTGACTTCGGATGTGCGAATCTTATGTTCAAGCCATTTTCAGATTGACATCACATATATGCTTAAGAAAAACGTCTCTTTAACATTCAAGGAATTTCCTTCTAAAACGGCATTTTTTTTTATATCAAACGACACATTACTTGAGCGCCCAAAAGCTGCTCATCCGCGTTCGATGTCCTAAAACCTCTATAAAAAAAAACGGGTTAAACGTCCTCGAGAACATTCATGTGTTACTTGGACACTGTTATTTGTATAAAGCCTATAGGTCTGATTTGACTGTACCTACCCTTGGCACCCGATAATGTGAATGGAGGATCATGGTGCCAACAAAGGCGAATAAAAATTATTTAATAACATCCCTGAACCAAAACGGCAATGCAACACAGCGCAGTCGGTGTCATTTTTCAAAGATCATTTCACCTGTCATTCCATGTGGCACTTCAGCAAGTCAATAGAGCATAATGCCCATAAAGCAAAGAAAAGAACTCATATTCTACATAGGGTTGCAATTTGAAAGCAGCATGGCACGCACCATCCAGCCCCAGCTAGAGTGCTTTCCACTGCAATCTACAACACACCTTCTCAATGTCAGCGCACAGATGCGAGATTGCAACCATGGGAAATGAACCTTCCAAATGTTGAGGAGTCTCAGTCACAGATACAGCAGCAGCAAGCTTCGTACGTCAGCTCTGACGAATGGAGGAAGACAGGGAATATGCAACATACAGCAGAGTCACGATTCAAAAGTCACCTTTTTTTTTTTACTTCAAGCTCCCATCTCCCATAGATTAGACTTTTATCTTTTTTTGCCATCTACCAATGCGACTGCGGTGCGGAAAGAAAATGCAGCCATAGAAGAACTCTCGCGCTCGTCGGCTTCCTTATGTTCAAGCACTCGCGAAAGTTTCGTGACTTCTACTACATTCGTCACTGCTTTCTCGTGCAGTAAGACGTTAAGACTTTAAAACGCTCAAAAACACTCTTCCTGGGGGTGCTCCTTTGACAACATTACTCGATCTTTGCGTAGCCATGTGAACGCAAGTGGCGACGAACTGACGGTGCGCCCCGTATTTCATCATGGACGCTTACAATCGTCCGGAGATCGAAGACTAGACAGGTTTGCTCACGGGCAGCCCCGCCCCAATACGTTGTCTCCTGGTGACGTCACGTGGTTCAAGCAGCACACGGGTGCTCCAGGTGCCCCCTTAGCTTTTTTAATCCTTCACATTTCCCGTATCTCTTTTGCAAGGCTTTACGTGTTTCTTCATATCATCAACGCAAAATGGTCGGATGTGCTGTTGCGAGCTGCAAAAAACCATAATGATGTCACAAAGAGGATTCGACACTTCCGCTTCTCAAAAGATGGAGAAGCCGAAAGTAAATGGGTACATCTCTGCCACCGTGAGGACAAAGTCAATCCGGAAAAATCCAGAATGTGTTCTCAATTTCAACTTGAAGACTATAAGCGTCAATAATTTATGAAATGCTACAGTATTCTCCCATTGATTGTAGTGTCCTGATCTTCAAGATACGAGAGTCATTTTCCGAGGGAAGAAGCTGGATAGACGCCGTTTCACGAGGGAGTTTAACGAGGCCGAATGGGGAATTTTTAAATCAGTGTTTGTCCATGGAACGAATTTTACGGGTGTGATGACACATTGATTACAGGGAAGAAGGCTGTCATAAAGTAATTAATTGAACTCATGAAGGAAGAAGTGTCAGCCCAGCTTCAGGTTACGTACGCCTTTGTGCGATGCCGCACTTTCTTCCGAATTCGGAGACTGAATGGTGAGAGAGCATAGAGACACGCCCAAAAGTCAGTGAA